GGGCTGGAGAGAGGGGGAAATAGGCAGTTGTTACTTAATAGATATTGAGTTTTAATTTTACAAGTTGTAGAATTTCTAGAAATGTTTTGCATAACCAGGTGAATATACTCTACATGCCTAAAATTTACAGCTTTTTTTGAGACATGATTTTACTCCGTCACCCAAGCTAAAATGTAGTAGCTCAATTATGGCTCACTGTAGCCTCAAACTCTCAGTCTCAAATAATCCTCCCTCTTCAATCTCCCAAGTTGCTGGGACTACAGATGGACACCACCCATGCCTAGTTATTTTTAACCTTTTTCTTCTTCTAGAGAAAAGGTCTTTACATGTGGGCCAGGTGTCTCAAACTTTTGGACTAAAGTGATTCTCTTTTCTTGGCCTCTCAAAATTCCAGAATTACAGATGTGAGCCACCACCATGCATAGCCCTAATATGTTACACTGAAATAGACTGGAAATGGTAAATTTTATGTTGTTCTTACAATTTTTTTTAGAAGAATTGAAGAAGTACAGAATTACAAATCTTTTCAAAAATTAACTTCAAATCACAAATGTGGTTCTCTCATACAAAGGAAATGTATATTCATTTTTTAACAAAGTGTGATGAGCGGGGCACAGTGGCTCATGCCTATAATCCCAGTACTTTGGGAGGCTGAGGTGGGTGGATTGCCTGAGGTGAGGAGTTCCAGACCAGTCTGGCCAACATAGTGAAACGCTGTCTCTACTAAAAATACAAAAAATTAGCCAGGCATAGTGCCAGGCACCTATAATCTCAGCTACTAGGGAGGCTGATGAAGGAGAACACTTGAACCTGGAGTCGGAAGTTGTAGTGAGCTGAGATTGCGCCATTGCACTTCAGCCTGGACAACAAGAGCGAAACTCTGTATCAAAAAAAACAAAAAAAAAACAAAACAAAACAGAACAGCAAAATAATAAGAAGAAAAATGTTTACTCATAAATTCTGGTATGTAACATTGATGTGCCATTAAAAAAAATTTGTCTAGATAACCACAATATTTGACTGTAACTGTGTACTCATAAAAGCCAGGTATTTTGAATCACTGGCATGAATTATATAGCAGTAAAATGTCAGAGAAAATGCAGTATAATCATAAATAGAAGATTCTAATGGGAAACTTTTACTAAATTAGCATTATAAAAACTAGAGGTAATTTTCATATTTTAAATGTTATTCGTATACAAAATGAAACTGAGGTAATTCAAATTTAGAAGCAGGCTGGGCACGGCGGCTCACACCTGTAATCCCAGCACTTTGGGAGGCGGAGGTGGGTGAGTCACTTGAGGTCAGGAGTTCTGAGACCAGCCTGGCCAACATGATGAAGCCCCATCTCTACTAACAATACAAAAAACTAGCCGGGCATGGTGGTACACATCTGTAATTCCAGCTACTCAGGAGGCTGAGGCAGGAGAATCACTTGAACCCAGGAGGCAGAGGCTGCAGTGAGCTGAGTTCACGCCACTGCACTCCAGCTTGGGCAAGAGAGTAAGACTCCGCCTCAAAAAAAAAAAAAATTAAATTTAAAAGCAAAGAATAGCCTCATACTGCTAAATTCAAAAGAAAGAAAGAAGGCCAGGTGCGGTGACTCACGACTGTAACCCCAGCACTTTGGGAGGCTGAGGCAGGTAGAGCACAAGGTCAGGAGATTGAGACCATCCTGGCCAACATGGTGAAATCCTGTTTCTACTAAAAATACAAAAAGTAGATGGGCGTGGTGGCGCATGCCTATAATCTCAGCTACTTGGGAGGCTGAGGCAGAAGAATAGCTTGAATCAGGGAGTGGGAGGTTGCAGTGAGCTGAGATCACACCACTGCACTCTAGCCCTGTGACAGAGCAACACTCTGTCTCAGAATAAATAAATAAATATATTTTCCAGAATATAATTAAAGCCTCTGATATACATGAAACAAATATTTGGGAATAAATTATGTTTTTATTTAGATATAGGCTAAAGAAATGGTATAAATTCTAGAATTCTTTTGCCTGCAGCAAACAAATTTATAAGTAACTATTTTAGTAATAGAGTGCCTACTAAGTATCTAATTTATTTCCAGCATAACATTTAAATTCTAACATACTGTACTAAATGTGTGAATCCAAAACTAGAGACAAATTTGAAATAGAAAGTAGAAAGTTGCCAGGCGCGGTGGCTCATGCCTGTAATCCTAGCACTTCAGGAGGCCAAGGTGGGTGGATCACCTGAGGTCAGGAGTTCAAGACCAGCCTGGCCATCATGGTGAAACTCCATCTTAAAAAAAGATAAAAAAAAAAAAAAGAAAGTAGAAAGTAAAATGAATAGAGTGACATCAATAGGATGGAAAAATAAAAGGTGATTTATTTTTTAAACCCCTGACAGCAAGAAAATTTGTGAGCTATCCTTGACAAAAATGTCTTTATGAGACAGCAGGGATCATGGCTCACAACTGTGATGTCAGCTACATGGTACACTGAGGTTAAAGAATTGCTTCAGGCCAAAATTTCAAGTCTGGCTGGGGGTACGCAGCAAGACCCGGCGAGGCATGGTGGCTCACGCCTGTAATCCCAGCACTTTGGGAGGGTGAGTGGGTGGATCACCTAAGGCCAGGAGTTTAAGACCAGCCTGGCCAACATGGTGAAACCCTGTCTCTACTAAAAATATAAAAATTAGCCAGGCTTGGTGGTGCATGCCTGCAATCCCAGCTACTCGGGAGGCTGAGACAGGAGAATCACTTGAATCCAGGAGGCAGACGTTATGGTGAGCCAAGATTAAGCCACTGCACTCCAGCCTGGGTGACAGAGATGAGGCTCCATTTCCAAAAAATAAAAATAAAAAAATGTTTTAAAAAGGTGAGCTTTGAGATCCAGGGAGGGAATTGTGAAACTCTGTTAAAGCCAAAGACTGAGGAGCATCCTTTTCAGAAGCTAGGCTTTCATTTAGGTGGCAAACTATAGGACCTCTCTTGTTGGCTACGGACTGAAAAAGAGCCCACCCAACATGGTCCCACTGAGAAATCTGAACTTACCATGTAACCATCTCAAACTCCTCCCAGTCTAGGTCTGGGAGATGTACTGCCCTTCCAGAGGTCTGGAGGAAGACACCAATTTATAGCCATGCAGGCAAGTTTGCAAGACCTTAGACTTTACTGTGGTCCCTGAAGCAATTCCATGACTCAGTCCAAGCTCTCTGGTCCATAGTTCATGGCCAGTTCTGTCTACATAGAAACCCACACAAGGACCTGGGAAAACCCTCTTTGATACTCTGTGAACGCTATACACATTCACGTCCTGATGTAAGGCTCACCGTACGCAGACCTGACAATGGAATCCTGCCTAGTGTGTGCCCTACAGATCAAAGTCCTGAAGGATATTCAATTTGTCCAAAATAAAATAAAATTTACAACTACACAAGCCCCTTGTAACAAGCCAACTAAAGGTAAACCATTATGCAGACCCAGCAGCTTTCTGAGCAGCCTACAACCCCTCTTCATTACAAATCTAGAGGGCATCTCATTATCCTGGGGCGCCAACACAAGATCTTTACCTCCTGAAACCAGTTTATAAAAAGTTGAAGAGGTGTTTGTTTCTTCAAATTCATAGACACCTATGCAAAACTATATTGTGCCCAGTGTCAATGCTTCTATTTTAACATAGCACTAAAAGTATGTGGCAAAGAATTAGTCAAAATAATTTCTAAAAAGCCACTAACATTGAAGACAAATAAGTAAAAAGTTGCTGTTGGTAGATCATATAATCTCATATATTAAAAAAAAATCATACACAGTACACTTAAACATGTCTAAACTAATGAATATACTCATTAAATTAGCAAAATATTAAATTAACATACATTTATAAGATATGGTTCCATACACTTAAACTATCTGATAAAATAAAGGAGGAAAACAATCTTATTAACAATAGCATTAAAATACATTTCTTAGAACAAATTTAAGCAAGGATCTAAAAAACCTTTATAATACATGATACAAGATATCAATGGAAGAAATTAGAAAAAACACAAATTTTAAAATATTTTGTGTGTATGGGTTGAAAGAATATTGTTAAAGTGCCATATTATCCACAGTGATTTACACATTCAATAAACTCCTAGGCCGGGCGCGGTGGCTCAAGCCTGTAATCCCAGCACTTTGGGAGGCCGAGGCGGGTGGATCACGAGGTCAAGAGATCGAGACCATCCTGGTCAACATGGTGAAACCCCGTCTCTACTAAAAATACAAAAAATTAGCTGGGCATGGTGGCGTGTGCCTGTAATCCCAGCTACTCAGGAGGCTGAGGCAGGAGAATTGCCTGAACCCAGGAGGTGGAGGTTGCGGTGAGCCGAGATCGCGCCATTGCACTCCAACCTGGGTAACAAGAGCGAAACTCCATCTCAAAAAATAAAAAAATAAAAAAATAAAAAACTCCTTATCAAAATTCCATACCTTTTCAAAATACCACAGTAGTTACTGTGAAGACATAATAATAATAAAATAGTAATAGTTTTTATAGTAATAAAAACAGGATGGAACTTGCAGAAAAAAATGAATTAAAGAAACAATGAAACAGAAACCACTACTCACATATTTCAGACATGATGCAGAAAGAAAACTTGAAAAATAGTTTAACATAGAGTTTCTTAAAATTACACAGACATTTATGTGTCCACCCAAACATTAAAAAAGCAGATCTTGCAGTCTCGTATATGCCATAAAGGGGATTTTGGCTCTCATCGCAAAATCTCAGAAACTATCTACCTTGGAGCACAGCTCACAAATCATATTTCAAAAACTGACTTTCTCCTTGACATCTGGACCTCTCATCTGCGTCGTCTGTTGCATTCACTCTCACCTACCTGGGGGTTTGGCCACCATCTCCTGTCTCTTCATATTCCAGGGCTCTTTGCCTTGCTCCAGACAGGTGATCAGGTCTGGCTTAGAAACAGCAATACCTGTTTCATTAAAAATAAGTACCATGAATGTTGCTCATATTCTCCAAATAATGTGCTCAGTAAAGAGGATGTAATAGAATATTCCAGTAAATTAATTATAAAATGCCAATTTAAAACAGAAATATTTCTAAATATTTAGAAAATGTTTTAAATTTGTAGGCTCCTAATTTTACTAAACTTAGTACTACTCAATCAAAAACTGGTGATGACAACTAGACTTTAAGGTACAGAAAACAATATTTTATGCCACTAAATTTCTGGAATTAACGTTAATTTAGAGTAAAGGATACAGATCAGGAATGTAAAAAGTTCAGATCAAGATGAAACGTCTTGAAATTTTTTTTTTCATACACTGACAAATTCCCAAGATTTTCTTTCTTTTCTTCTTCTTTTTTTTTTTTTTTGAGATGGAGTCTTGCTCTGTCACCCAGGCTGGAAGTGGTGCCATCTCAACTCACTGCAACCTCCACCTCTGGAGTTAAATGATTCTCCTGCCTCAGCCTCCCAAGAGCTAAGACTACAGGTATGTGCCACCATGCCTTGCTAATTTTTGTATTTTTAGTAGAGACGGGGTTTCACCATGTTGACCAAGCTGGTCTTGAACTCCTGACCTTAGGTGATCCACCCACCAAGGCCTCCCAAAGTGCCAGGATTACAGGCATTAACCACCGCACTTGGCCCTGATGATTTTCTTTAAAATAGAAAACTGATACTCATTTATGTCAAGATAAATTACCAAAAACATTCTACAAGTAAAATAAAATCTTCAGGGTATATTAGCAATTGTGTATTGAAGTTATTCTCACCAAGGAAGACCATGTTTCTGTAGTTTTCTAACATCACGTTCCTATATAAATTCTGCTGTGTGGTATCCAGGCATTGCCACTCCTCTGGAGAGAATTCTATGGCCACATCCATAAATGTCAGTGGTCTCTGAAAAACACACATACATATATTTACCAACTGGCCATGGGCAAAATTTTGAATTTGACTCAAGTTGAAATGAAATTCTAAAGAGAACTGGTTCTGACTTATAAAGTGAAGGAAATCATCCAAATAAAATAATTTTAAACACATAAGTATTCTCTGCTATATTCTCTATGAGAAAAGAGTGGAATAAGATCCACAACATCAGTTTATATATGATAATTTTCTGGATAGTAAACTATAAAATTAAGGGCAGGAACATAATATGTACATTTTTGAGTGCTATATTTACATTATACAGAATGAATGAGTTCTGTATATTTTTGAGATGAAAAAGACTTGTTGAGTTAGAAGGTACATCTCAATATTTTTGAGACGAAGTCTCGCTCTGTAACCCAGGCTAGAGTGCAGTGGCACCATCTCAGCTCACTGCAACCTCTGTCTCCCAGGTACAAGCTATTCTCCTGCCTCAGCCTCCTGAGTAGCTGGGACTACAGGTGTGTGCCACCACACCTGGCTAATTTTGTATTTTTAGTAGAGACAGGGTTTCACCATGTTTGCCAGGCTGGTCTCGAACTCCTGACCTCGTGATCTACCCACCTCGACCTCCCAAAGCTGGGATTACAGGTATGAGCCACCACGTCCAACTTCTAATTTTAACATATAAAATAAACTGGACTGGAGATCTTGTTATGCCATTTTCAATTTTTGGGAAGAAGATCTGGAATAAAGTCTGAGTTGCTAAATTTTCAACAAGCTCACAAGTAATACCAATAATTTTGCCCTAAAAAGAATATTTTATCAAACATCCACTAAGTGACAGAACCTGGGGTTTTTCTTCCCATTTTTTATGGCCTATAAAAGAGGGATGAAAGCCTTCATTTTCCAAAGACAGACATATGCAAAGAAACCTTGAGAGAAGAGCAGCTGCCAGATTAAATTTGATGATTTATGCACATCAGCTTCATAAAGAAGAGAAAACAATTCTAGAGTGAAAAATCTGTCAGAGAGCTCTTTAAACCAAGTGAATCATTAGCAGCAACTGCAATAGGACAAATTTTTGTGATGTGCTAAAACACACAGAAGGACCACATTGATGCTGGAATATTGCTACCAATAAGTAATTTATAGTCCAAATTCAATCATACGGAAACATCAACTGTATGCAAAGTTCAAGATACAGGTATTTTCTATGTTCTGTAATTTTTTTTTTTTTTTTGAGACAGAGTCTCGCTCTGTCACCCAGGCTTGAGTGCAGTGGCGCGATCTCGGCTCACTGCAACCTCAGCCTCCCGAGTAGCTGGGGCCACAGGTGCATGCCACCACACCCAGCTAACTTTTTGTATTTTTAGTAGAGACAGGAAAAAAGAAAAAAAAAAAAGTAGAGACAGGGTTTCACCGTGATAGCCAGGATGGTTTCAATCTGACTTGGGATTTGCCTGCCTCAGCCTCCCAAAGTGATGGGATTACAGGCCATGAGCCACTGCACCCAGCTATGTTCTGTAATTTTTAATGTGATTTTAAATAGTCTTTCTTTAGCACCCTAGGGAACAGGTATGTCCTGTTAATTTTTTTCAAAACTTTCTGGGTAATAAATGCCATCTTCTTTAAATAAGCATTTTCTTTATTCTGTTCTGCACAGGACTAATAGCAAACATAAATGGAACTTCAGCATTACATGTTCTCCATCTTTACTAAGGATCCTGGCTTTTCCAATGGTAATCTTGAGTATCCACACTTTTCCATGTTCAACAACCACAAAAAGAACATTTTTAATGCTGCAGATCATCAATTAATGGTGAGAATTTTACAAGGCATATACAAAGCAGTAAGGTAGCTGGGCACGGTGGCTCACACCTGTATGTAATCCCAGCACTTTGGGAGGCCGAGGCAGGCAGATCATCTGAGGTCGGGAGTTCAAGACCAGCCTGGCCAACATGGAGGAAAAAAAAAAAGCAAACTATAAGGCAGAAAATTTAGAGAAGGCTCTGATACATAGGAAAGAAATGTTTTTCAGAGACCCTTCATTATCATAAGAATTTTAAAAAGTAGTTAAAACAAACTCATTAGGGAGAAAAACAAGTACAGAAGTCAAGGTTTGCAAGTACTAAATGTATAGCATACCAAGAAGCAGAGTGGACATAGCTCTTGATCTGAGACACGTTTAGCTGAAAACATGTCCCCTTTTCCTCTATCTCCTCCTTCTCAGATTTATTTTCAGATGAGATTTTTCTGGACAAATTATACCTGCATCTCAAGAATGTATCTTTAAAAGTCTCAAGACCACTTGTTTACATGCTACCACTACACCCACAGGCAGGACTAAGACTCTCAGAAAAAGTTCACCCATTTTTGTTCCTTATATGAGAAAAGATTCAGAAACAATGAAAATATAAATATAAGTTTCTCCTTTTCTGCCCTTAGGTACCTTCTGCTGCCACAGGCACCAGCAATTTCTGCTACAGTAATAGAAATACGGGTCACACTGCCTTGTCCCTACCAAGCCCAAACAGAACAGGCCCTGTGACCACCCTTCAATGGAAAAGTAAAACTTAACTCTCATGAATGTATCCTGAACCCCTCGTATTTGATTCTGGCCTTACCTTAAAGTCATATGAGACACTTAAAATTAAAACAACATGAATGTGTCCATACAAAACAATAAACAGAACCTGTGAAGAAGGCACAAGAGATTTCTAGTAATTGGCCATATAATTTGAGTATTGAGTAAAATGGCTGATTGCTACCCTGTAAAGTTTGTGTAGGAATCCGAGGTAACTGGAAGCCTGAGAGGAAAAGGCCCCTCTTAGAGTAAAGCTTAACTGGAAGCTTATGTGTTTATATCTGTCCAGTAGTTCTAGACAGTGTCTGGAAAATATAATTACAAGAAAAATTTTCTCCAGCTCTAGAGAAACTCCAAAATGACAGAACAGAAAGCAAACTGTTTGATTACACAATTAAACCAGAATGTGACATGCATCACAATCAATATTCTCAAGAGCTTGCGAAGACAAAAAGGCACTCCTGTCATCAGTCCACAAGTAAAATAATTTTCACCTGGTAATTGGGGAGGTGACCCATGTATGCTAATTGGTTATATTCAGTGACAAAATTAACTTTCCACATCCTCATGACAGGAGGTAATTTTGCAACTTAGGGTGTTATCTTCTTAGCTATTTACATCTTAAAGCAATGGCTCTTTACCTCCTGGGCGCTAGACTAGAACATTCCGCTTGCCCTTTCCTTGATAATCAGTGTCCTCTCTTGACTCCTACCACAGGGCTCACAGCTGGAAGCTCTCATCTTATGTGAACCCCAATTGCCAGAGCAGCACTCCAGCCCCACATCAGAGAAAGAAGCCTGAGATGCAGGAGGAGAGCCTGCAGGCCTCTTGGGTAAAATTGCACCTTCACAATAATGGGAAGGGGTGCAGTGGTTCAGTCTCAGTTTCTACTTTATAAGGTGACATGAAAAAAATACTGCTGGATTTTCAGCCTGAGTTTGGACAGAGATAGCGTTAACAGTTCTCCCTGTGACAAATCACCTCATTCATAGACACTATGGTATAGTAACAGGGCTTCTGAAACACCCAAAGCACTGGAGAGAAAAACAGCCCTTATCTTAGCAAAATTATATTAAGAGAAAAAACAAGAGCATCTTTAAAAAAATACTCAGATTAAATATAAGATTAATTAAGTTAAGGCCGGGCTTGGTGGCTCACGCCTATAATCCAGCACTGGGACGCCAAGGTGAGCAGATCACAAGGTCAGGAAATCGAGATCATCCTGGCCAACAAGGTTAAACCCTGTTTCTACTAAAAATACAAAATATTAGCCAGGTGTGGTGGCGGGCGCCTGTAGTCCTAGCCACTCAGGGGGTTGAAGCAGGAGAATTGCTTGAACCTGGGAGGCAGAGGTTGTGGTGAGCCAAGATTGTGCCACTGCACTCCTGCCTGGCCTGCAAGAGTGAAACCCTGTCTCAAAAATTAAAAAAAAAAGAATTAATCAAATTAGCCAGAAAATGTTCCCCTGAAATGTCTCTCTAAATACCCAAACTGCATACCTACTCTCAGCATGAGAAGCATGAACATTATGAAGAAAGGGAACACATTCTCAGCAAAATTTTATAATGTTTCTCTTTTATCTCTGCTGCTCTCTCATCTCCTTGCCACTGAATAGGGGATTTATATTGGAATACATGTGACAATTTCCACCAGTACCTTTTATTTTTTTTTTTTTTGAGACAGAGTCTTGCTCTCTCACATACGCTGAGGTGCAGTGGCACAATCTTACCTCACTGCAACATCTGCCTTCCAGGTTTAAGCAATTCACCTTCCTCAGACTCCTGAGTAACTAGAATTACAGGTGCCCACCACCATCCCTGGCTAATTTTCGTATTTTTAGTGGAGACAGGGTTTTACCATGTTAGCTATGCTGGTCTCAAACTCCTAACCTCAAGCGATCTGTTTGCCTTGGCCTCCCAAAGTGCTGAAATTACAGAGGTGAGCCACCACATCCAGCCTTCAACACTTTCTTTTTTTTTTTTTTTAAATAGAGAGGGAGTTTCACCATATTGGCCAGGATGGTCTTGATCTCCTAACTTTAAGTGATCCACCGGCCTCCAAAAGTCCTGGGATTACAGGCATGAGCCACAGCGCCCAGCCCTACACTTTGTTTCTTTTTTTGAGATGAATCTTACTCTCTTGCCCAGGCTGAAGTGCAATGGCATGATCTCTTCTCACCACAACCTCCGCCTCCTGGGTTCAAGCAATTCTCCTGCCTCAGCCTCCCGAGTAGCTGGGACTACAGGCATGTGCCACCATGCCCAGCTAATTTTTTGTATTTTTTGTAGAGACGGAGTTTCACCATGTTGGTTGGCCAGGCTTGTCTCGAACTTCTGACCTCCTGATCCGCCCTCCTCGGCCTCCTAAAGTGCTGGGATCTTCACCAACACTTTTTGATGAAGAATTGGAATCTGACTTTGTTTCTATATTTCACAAATATATTTGAGCTTACAACATAGCTAACTTAAAAGCTGTTATATTTTTTGCATGACCACATCACTCATCATGTTTATTTGTACTATAAGGGCAGCATTCAAGTTTAGAAAAATAAAAGATACTAAAATCATGCTTACCTGTAATTATCTCTACTGGGTAAATTAATACTCATGTCAGACTAACATCTACTATAACAATTTTGTAGTGAATTTTTTGGATATTAGATATAAGTATCTAAGTATAAATGATTTTAACATACTAGTAATAACGTAGAATTTTTAAAAATTTTCTGTAGCCATAATTTCGTTAAAATACTTCATATTTCAGGCTAGGCGTGGTGGCTCACGCCCGTAATCCCAACACTTTGGGAGGCTAAGGCAGGTGGATCACCTG